GATCACGCGCATCACGCGCGCCAGCGACGATCGATTGGCGCGCAGGAGCCAGGCGATGACTAGGGCGATTGCAGCGAAGGACAGCAGCGCCAGGAGAAGCGCCGGCATGAACTATTGCCGGGTCGTCGGCGCCTGGGGCGCCGGCGTTTGCGGCTGTGTCTGCGATTGCGATTCCGCCTTCTCGCGCTGGATCTGACGCCAGCGCTCGACGTTGCGGTTGTGCTCGGGGAGCGTGGTGGCGAAGGCGTGCCCACCCTGCCCGTCGGCGACGAAGAAGAGCGAACGGTCGCGCGCCGGATTGGTCGCCGCGACGATCGAAGGCACGTCCGGGATTGCAGATGGGCCCGCGCGGCAAGGCGGCGATCACATAGGTGTTGAAGGGGGTGTTCGACTGCAGGTCCGCGCGCGTCAGGTCGCGCCCGAGCGACGTCTTCCCTTCGGTGAGGCCGTAGATCGTGGTCGGATCGCTCTCGAGCTTCATGCGCCGGCGCAGGCCGGTTGATGAAGACGGCCGCCACCTTGGTGCGCTCGGCCGGAACCGCCGTTTCCTTCTCGATCATCGATGCCAGGATCAGCGCCTCGCGCTTGTTGGCGAGCGGCAGGCCGGCGGCACGCTTGCGCCAAGCCTCGTCGAGCGTCTTCTCCATCGCCTCCTTCATGCGGAGCAACAGACCGTCGCGGGTGTCGTCGCGCGAATAGAAGTAGGTCTCGGGTAGGAGATCGCCCTCCTTAACGTCGAGCGTAATGTCCCCGGTGAGCGCCTCGGTCTTCCGCACCAGTTCCAGCACCTCGGGCGTCGTCGTGCCTTCGGGAATGGTGAGGCGGCGCTGCACGACCTTGCCCGACTGCAGCAATTCGACGAGCGCCTGCATCGAGGTGTGCGCCGGCACCTCGTATTCGCCCGCCTTGATGGGCTTGGGCGACGGATCGATCATCAAAGCCACGCGGAACAGGCGCGGATGGGCGATTACGCCCTCCTCCTCCAGCAGCTTGGCCATGGTGGTCGGCCCGGCACCGCGCGGGATGACGACGTTCTTGGTCTTGTCCAGCGGTCCCTGGGCGGTGAGGATCACATGGCCGACATAGATCGACCCGCCCATGACGGTGGCGAACAACGCAATGAAGAACAGAACCCAGCGGAAGTAGC